ACGCGTGCCGAATTGCAGGATGCCGCGTGAAAATAGACGCATTTTTAATGGCCAGATCTGTATATACAGTACATTAGACAACTGCTTTTCACTGAATCACTTTTCAGGAAAAATTAAGCATTATTTCAATTAGCTGTAAGGGTCCACAATTTGTCCACATTTGTATATGCAGATTCCCCATGCCATGGGCACTGATGCACCCCCATACCATGGCAGATGCTGGTTTTTGCATCTTTCGTTGATAACAGTCTGGATGGTCTTTTTCATCTTTGGCAGGTAGAATTGTTTTTCTCAAAAACAAGCTGAAACGTGAGCTCATCTGTCCACAGAAACTTTGATTACTTTATTGATTGATTGTGTCTCATGAGTATTCATACCTATTATTTTAACTGAATGACTTTAACCAGTGAATAAAGCACATACACAACTGTAGTGTTAGGCTATGGAAACAGTCCCACAAACCACTGCTACCAAGCTTTTTTCTCGCCAATGCCAGATCCATTGTCAACAAGTTGGATGAACTGAGGCTACAGGTTGCATCGAACTGCATGATCAAGGACAGCTGCTTGCTTATGTTCACAGAAACCTGGCTCCATTCATGCATACCAGACTCAGCTATCGCGTTAACAGGCTATACATTGCGGTGCTACGATAGGACTTCAGACTCTGGTAAGAGCAGGGGCAGGGGTGTATTTGTGTACATTAACAACAACTAGTGCACGAACGCGGTGATAGTGGACAGTCATTGCTCCCCTGATTTGTGTCCTTGTGTACATGACTGAAATGTAGACCCATCTACTTACCACGGGAGTTTAACATGGTAATGATCACCATGATTTACATACCTCCAGCTGCTAATGCTAACTCGGCTCTGAGACATTTATACAGCAGCATCAGCAGCAAACAGAGCCGGTATCCTGACGCAGTGTCCATTATCGCAGGGGAATTTAATCACGTGGACTTAAAAGCAGTGCTCCCCAAACTCCACCAGCACATGAAGTGTGCTACTAGAGGAGCCAACACACTAGATAAAGTCTACTCAAACATCCAGCTAGGATACAGAGCAAAACAACTTCCACACCTGGCCCAGTCTGACCACATGTCACTGCTGATGATTCCTGCATACACCCCTCTCCGCAAATCTGCTCGTACCATCATAAGATCTATCACAACCTGGCCTGATGATGCCTCTCTGCAGCTGCAGGACTGCTTTGATAGGACTAGCTGGGAGATTCTTGAACATTCAGACCTGGAACTCTATACTGACAGTGTATTGAGCTACATCAAGACTTGCATTGACACTGTCACAGTGGAGAAATGTATCCGTGTCTATCCAAACCAGAAGTCCTGGATGACAAGAGGTTCAGCGGCTGCTAAAGGAGAGGAACACTGCCTTCAAGTCAGGAGATAAGGCCCTCTACAGTGTGGCACAAACTAGTCTGAGGAGAGGCAACAGAATGGGATTACAGGAGGAGGATTGAGGAGCACTTGGACAGTAATAACATCAGGCAGGTTTGGCAGGGAGTCCAGCACAAAACAAACTACAGGACCAGTCATGAAGCTGCTGAAAGTGATGCCTCAATAGCAGAGGAGCTGAATCACTTCTTTGCATGGTTTGAGGTGGAATTACCCGAGGCAGCTGTTACATATGCAGCTGCAGCCCACAACAACATCACCCTACCCTTAGGGTGGAGGAACATGAGGTAAGACGCTTGCTCCAGGCTGTCAATCCCAGGAAGGCAGCAGGTCCTGATGACGTTCCTGGATGTGTGCTGAGGAACTGCGCAGAACAACTGGCTGGGGTCTTTACAAAGATCTTCAACCTTTCACTGTCCCAGGCCTCAGTTCCACCCTGTCTGAAATCCCCCACTATAGTCCCTTTACCAAAAAAATCAACCATAACCTGCCTG